ATCCTCGTTTAAGGGGGTTCGGTTGGGCGGTCTCCAGCCATCTTTAAAGTCACCTATGCTGCCGTGCTAAGAAAGAAAGTCATACGGACATTCGGGAGTTGCCAGATTTTCCTTGATAAAGTAAGTATTTTTGATCGACACTCATGCACATTTTACCTTGAAATTTGCAGATATTGTAGATTGAACTGCGTACAAAATTGTCTGAAAATTTTGTGGAAAAATATTCACAAATTCCCAGTTATTTCAGTTTTTATCGAGGGAAACTTGGCAACGTCTGATTGTCATACGGCGTTTTTCCGTAACTCTTCAGTATGGGCGGCTCCAAAAGTGACGTTGTTCTCGACGTAAAGCGAGTGTAAAAACTCCCCCGTAAGCGCCTATTATTACACTTTACGCTGGGCCGTGACGGTGCGACGGGAGAGTCTGCGGCGTCGCGACGCGTGACGCGTGACGTCGCGTCGGATGACGCGGGCGGTGGGCGGGCGTTTCGGCGGTGGCTGCGGTGCGGTGTGGCGATTCAGTCGGGTTGTGGTAGGCGAGGTCGGAGCTGAGACAATAATGGTGTTAATTAGCATGAAGCAGACCACATGGGGCGTCGCAACCGCCGGAGACGGGCACAAAGAAGCTCCTCAAAGCTCGCCATTGTTATCCCCGGCCGCCGCCGCCGCGCCAAGCCGTGGTCCACCGCCGCCGGCTACGGCTCCAGCGGCACTGTCCCCTCGCGGTTCCGCATTTGCCGTCCCGACGGAAAAATCCGCCAATGCCAGAGGAAAAAAACTCCTAAACCTCCAGTTTTCTCAATGAAGATGTTGCATGTGTGAGGAATTTGCGATTTGACTCCTATTCTTATGTAAAAGTTAGCGAGAAACACGATGGTGCCACTGTTTCTCTCTGAAATCAACTCCAATGCTCAAAAGAAGCTCTCAAGTCGAGGCCAAAATGGAGGGGATATCCCACCCTACCCTGAGAGTCCACGTTTACATCAAGACATACTCTCCATGCGAAGATAGGGAGCAAATACATTAGCAAGGATGCCGTGTTTTCAGTTTTGGAGTCCCCAAATAAATTGTCAGCCTTGTCATGTATTTGCTCCCTATCTTTGCATGGAGAGTTTGTCTTGATGTAGACGTGGACTCTCAGGGTACGGTGGGATATCCCCTCCATTTTGGCCTCACTTTAAGAGCTTTTTTTGAGCTTGGGAGATGATTTCAGAGATAACCAGTGGCACCATCGTGTTTCTCGCGAACTTTTACAATAGAATCAATGGTCAAATCGCAAATCCCTCACACATGCAACATCTCCATTTTTGGGAATCTGGGTTTTTTATCGACATGCGGTTGAAGCAAAACGTATTGGTAAAATGAGTCTCTGGTAAATCCGAATATAGTGGTAAGCAAACCAGTCGTTTTAACTTTGAAAGTTTTTAAAAATGGGGTCTATGTGCAATACTTCAAGGCCGGTAACATACCATCGTTTCCCGAACGAAGGAGCGTAGCTCCGTTACGAGCAGTAATGCAGAAAGGTCTAAGCCTTCCCATTATCAAAACCCTTTTTCCCCTCAGAAATTTCAAAAAGATGACTTATTCATGGCTCTGTACGTATAAATCGCCACGATTTTGCGAAAACTTTTCTTGTTTCTATCTTTCTTTCATCAGGTGGTTGTAAAAATACCTTGAACATAGAGTATATATTTTATTTACGTTTGCTGTTTATATCATGTACCTCATTTTCATCACGGCGTACCCTCCACGATGAGTTTCGAATTCCTGCGCCCGGGAAAACTTTTTAGATTTTCTGTACGGTCATGGCCTGCGTGTACTGTAGGAGGAGGTGAATAGGAGCGCTCGAGCATGAGTGTTTTCGACTCGTGAGCCGAGTCTATGTGGACGTATTTCTGCCAAACGGAACTATATGTATTAAGACACGAGCCCTGAGATCCATAAGAATGCATGCATAACGGGCTCACGTCATAATGCACATGGTTCAGTTTGGCAGAAACACGTCCATGTGCGCGATGGTCCCGAATAATTTTTGAATCGTGTCCGGGTCCGGGGTCGCGCTTGAAATCCCGCCGCCCAATTAGTGCTCAAGCACTCGTGAATTGATTGCGCGCTGTGCGGTGCGCGGTGCCCGTTGGTGCTTTACCGGCCAGCGGCCAGCCCTAATGGTGATGCGCCGCTGTAGCCGCTAGTGTCATTGCAGCTGGTTGCCACCTCTTAGACATTATTTTCGCGACGACTAGGGTAGAATACCTGTATAGCCTCCGGAAAATCCTCTTGATTGGCTTAGCCGTCTAGGGCATCACAGAGCTCTCAGAATGAATCAAGTGCATGCAAATGATTCTAAAGTGCAAAAAATGAAGTTTGCTTGTACTATCTGTTAATGAACTTAAATTAGAGAGTTAATTTTCAATCCGAGAGTCGTAGAAAGATTAAAACGCATGTTGTTGTTGCTGTTGTGTGATACATTTATTTGAAGGTGTTTTAACATCATGGGTCATTAACACCTTAAAGTAGAGATGCAAAAAAGAATATTACAAAAAATTAAAAGAAAGGACAAGGAGAGAATGAATTAAAATTGGAGATTAAGTTGTTTGAAAAAGGGAAGGATTTGATAAAAAACAATTTGAATGTCCAATATTGAGGTCAGAAAGAGGAGGGAAAATTTTTGAGCTCAATTGTTGGTAGGTTGGAAAAAGTAATATTATTTGGATGTATGCATGTCCGGCTATTGTATATGTTGTTTGCTTCCTAGGCTTCCCAAAAGGAAAAATCGTTACTTTTTTCATAATATCTGCCTTTGAAAGCGGATTGCTCGCCTTAGCCGTTCACTGCCTTTTGAAAATTTATAAAATATTTCACTGAAATTTTAAGTTTTTCATATTTTTCTCTACTTGCAAACTACCATGGGTTGGAACGAGCGGCCGCGGTTTCCAACTCGATAACTATACGTGGAATCTAAATTTCGGAACCACGGAGTAGCTAAAAACTTCCTCTTTTACGTACAACATGGCATTGGTGATCATGGATTACACGCGTTATAAATTACGGCACCAAGCGGCCGCATGCGCGCACAACTAGCCACTCAATGGGCTATTTATCGTGCCATCGTAAGTAATGGTGAGTATTGTGCCTGTTTAAAATCAGCTTACAATCGCTCCGCACTTGTTCATCTTCGCTCTCGAGTCGTGAGGAGTTTTGAATCCAGAGCTGCATTTTTACAATTCATCATCGCGATTCATCAGGAACCTCAAAACAACTTGGAATTGTTTTGTCTCGCCATTATTGTGGCGTGGTCACATCGGTGTGTTTAATTGGAATTTCAACACAGCAGCTCTGCTAGGGCTGCAATCATTGATCCACATAAATTAAATGGACTATTAGGCGAGGTGAGGATTGGAGCATCACAAGACATGAATCGGCAACCTGCCAAATATGTTGAGCGTATTGAAAATTTCTAAAATCAACCTGCAAATTGAATATTTACACAAAAATGAGTCAATTCAAATTTGCCGCCAGTTTAAAAAATGAATCAATGATTTCGAAAACACACCAACTCGGGTTTTTTCGATTTTCATTTTTTTACGGTTTCGTAACAATTATGGATAGAAGTATCTGCACGCAAAAGGAAATTTCGAAATTGCAATCGGAAGTGCTCGAAGCAGCGACGTGAAAAGGGAAAATCGAAGTATTTTATTGGAAATACCAATTTTTGGCCATTTCAAGGGAAACGGGTGACCATCCGATTTTGCGGTTTTCTTTTTTCAGTTCATTATACCGTGTAGCAACAAGTTTTAGATAAATATTCAAGCGTCATTCAGGTCGAAAAATATAAACTCTTCAATGCAGACTATGAAAAATCAGTATCTGAAAGTCGGTGAGAACGAAAACACACCAACCCCACACGTGTAACGGAAATTTTGAAACGCTTAATTCTCTGTCATAAATCATGGTCTGTCATCGATTTCAACTTGGTGCTTTACAATGTCTCTAAGTACTTGTCCTTTGGCACCAAAAAGGTTTTTCTTATAAACTAACTTCTTCGCCCGCTGCGCAGTTTCAGGTGTTTCCTGAACAATTTTTTTCCGAGTTGGTGTGTTTTCGAACTCCCTGATTCAAATAAGGTCATCATTAGTCAAATCAGCCATTAAATAAGGTCGTTGTCGGATAAATTTGTACGATCGGACTAAATTTTACAATTATCCACAGTTACACATCCACATACACATTACAAGAATCCAAGGGCTGTACCTCGGGGTTGCCAACCTTTTCAATAAGGAGAGTGAATGCTTGCCAATGGCGACCACCAACTCAGGTGTGCAGCAACGACCAGCTAACCGTTGAACTCCATGCTGGATTTGTAGAGTCTAGCGAATGGAAATGAGTAGGAGTATAACGATGAGTGTATCTGCGTTGACTCCTAACAATAAAACCAAATGTTTCATCATTGATGAAATAGATGTAGCAGAGGTGAAGACAGTTTCACAAAAGTTTTCGTCGCATTCCTATTTCAAACGTCGCATGAAACTACATCGTAGAGAAACGGAACCGACCACTGAAATGCCGGAACATTGATGCCGTGCTAAAGAAAAACGGCCTATAACCAAATGAACGTTGCAGGCTTATGCCTGCTAATAAAATCCTGATTTTTGAGAAAAGTCATATATACTCTGTCTCGAAATTTTCAAGCACTGTGAATTTAACTGCAATTAAAAGTCTTCAGACATTTCGAAGGAAAACACTCCCGAACTCCCCTGAATTTTATATTTTATCAAAAGTAATTTTAGCAACATGTGAGTGTTCTTAGGGCTTTT